TCCCCACGGCCAGGAATGGGTATGAGCAAGACATTCAAATGTCTGAATGTTCCCATTAACCAATGCCTTGCCTGTGGTTGAGTTTATAACTTTCCAATAGCTGGAAGCAATGTGATTTATATTCACACTACAATAATTCTGCAATTTAAAATTGATTCGTTGACAGTAGTCCTTGGAATTCCAGTGCATTCTGGAGTATCAATTATGGATACAGACTCAGACATCTTTATACTGAACATGGAAGTTGTTTCTTAAAAATCCTGAGAAAGCGTGGTCTGGGAAGGCCATGTCAGCAGTTAGGAGCTTGCATGATGACTCCTGCAGAAAGGCAGAGTACAGTTCCCGGCACTGACATGACACAGCTCACAACCTGCAGACACTCCAGCCGCAGGGGACCCTACATATCTGGCCTCCCAGAGCACCTGTACTCACACGCACATGCCCACACACATACACACATAATTTTAAAAAATCTTCTCTTAAATCCTAATAAAGAGACATTATTTCCCATTTGTATTTTTCTGAAGTCCAGTGATTAAATATACAAACAAACAGAACTGAAGAGAAGTCTCAGTGGATAAGAGTGCTTTCCCAGAAGCATGAGGGCTTGAGTTTAAATCCCCAGACCCACGGAAAAGCCTGGTGCTGCCACAGCTACTATAACCACAGCATGATGGGGAGCGGTGTCCGCCAAACTAGTTCTAGGGTCAGGGAGGAACCCTATCTCAAGAGAATAAGGCAGGCAGTGACAAACTAGGATTCTGGCTTGCACACATTCACAAATGAAACCTCAACTCCTAATTATTTATGTATATATAAATAATATATATATATTATATGTTGAGGGCAATATATATTTTTTACAAATAAGGCACTCTTACACATTAAATTATCTTCCTGAAGTTATGAGGTATAAGGATGCCCACCACTCTACCCCTCCCCTCAAAACAAAAACCAAAACAGAAAGTATTGGGTTCTGAAATATCTGCAGACAGAATCTAATCAGATGAATACTCTTGGCTTTTCACTCTCTCTCCTCAGACCGGGAACTTTTTGGAATTTCTTTTACCAAATAAAACTCCAAAAGTGCAGCAGTTGTAAATTAAGCCCACTTATTAAAACAAAACAAAACAAAACTCTAACCATTTGCTCATTCCTGCTGTTTCAGTCTAGCACAATTTGTGCATAAATTTAGCATTTGATAACCCTATGTAGACCAGGCTGGCCTCAAACTAACAGAGATCCGCTTGCCTCTGCCTCCTGAGTGTCAGGCCTCAAGGCATGCACCACCACACCCTGCTTGATAATTTAATTTTACATTCTGACAATAAGACTACTTAAAATTTTCAGACCATTGCTGCAACTCCATAAACAGTAACTCGAAAAGTCGCCTTAAAAGAACCACTCAAGGAGCAGGTGACGTGGATATGAGGGGTGTGGTTTTGCTTCTTCCAACTCTATGAATGGCTTTCATCTTGGTTCCCTAGTATTTACACTCTTTTGGGAAGGAAGGGGGTGAGATAGAGTTTCTCTCTCTCTGGAGACAAACTGACCAGGAATTTACTCTGTAAGCCAGGTCACCTGATCTTCCTGTCTCTGCCTCCTGGAAGGCCAAGATCACAGGTGTGTGCCACCATGCCTGGCTACGCTACTTACAGTGAAATGCCTATAAGTACTGGCTAGTTTGCCAGCATTTCCTATATACAATCATTCCACCTAAATAGCTAAACCAGCTCAAGACCTGCCCATCAGTTTTGACTGATGACAGATATGCATTTGGAAATGTAAGGAGCTATCTTTCCACTTTTTGGACTGGCAGACCTACATACACCTATCCCAGGCTTTAAATTCTGTTTAGAAAATGAATTCAAGAGCTCAGCTGAGTGTCTAGACCATGGTAGAGTATTTGCTCCAGCAAAGACAAGGCCCTGGGTTCAATCCCAAGTATCAAAAAAGAAAAAAAAAGAAAAAAAAGACCTAAGATATTAAGAAAGAACACTTAACTTGGTGATTCAAAAAGCAATACAGCTCAGCTGAGTGCCAATAGACTTGGGAGTCTGAAAGTTCTGTGTTGCACATGTAAATTTAAAATAATTTAGAGAAAATAAAATTCAAAAGACAGTTCCTGAGTCACACTGCCACATTTCAGACACCCGATTACATGTGCCTCTGGCTGCAGTATGACTGTCTAGACAGAACCGTTATGATCCCTGGAGAAACTTTATTGGACGTTATTCAGAATTGCTGGTTACCTTGATTTCTGTGAACTTAAATGTCCTTGCTTGTAAAAAGTACATCTACCATACAACTTAAATTGAAATAATCAAATAATGTATACAAGGCAGAAACAGTGTTTATCTAAGAAGGAACAAACTTCTAGTACAATCTCCAACAGGCATGGTTTAACTGTCACCTAGCATCTAGGAAGCCAAGGCTGGGGGACATCTCTGAGTGGCCAGACTGGACTACAGAATTAGAGCCTGTCTCAAAACATCACAGGCAATAGATAGATAGATAGATAGATAGATAGATAGATAAATAGGTACAAGTCTATATTTTGTTCTATGACAGTAACCCTGACCTCTGGATCACGGAAGTTTTAAGAGTTGAGCAGAAGGGGCACTGATGCCCATGGAATAAACAACTAGTGGGGTTCCTGGTTCTCACCCTCAGCATTCCTTGGACGCCCCAGAAGAATGCCCCTGCCAAAGCCCATGTTCTGATAACAGCTATTTTTATAGGGCCTTAAAAGACTACCAGAATGTCTTTCTGCAACTGTATATACTGTCCTTAGACACTGCAACCCCCACCCCACAAGACCTCAAAATGTTAATAGCTCCTAAAGGAGCACTAGTTTGTCACGTGCATGCTTTCTCCCACAAGAGTTAAAACAAAATGCTTGAAATGCACATCAGGACAGAAATTTTTACGGAATAACTCTCGGCTACACCTCATGGTTAGCCGGGCTGCCGGTGTTTCTCCAGGGTCTCAACGAGAATTGTTGGGAACTACACCCTCCCCTAGGCAGCAAAGTCGTTACCCTCTTCAACAGCTGCTCCCAGGGAGCCAGGAAATTTACTGAAACCAGTCTTTACTGCTCCCGGGGTCAGCCTCTAACGCGGAGTGAACCAACAGCCCCAAGTCACAAAACCAGGTCAGTCAGAGTTGCTGTGGGCTCTGTGGGCTCTGTGGCATAACTCAAGTTCCCAGGGTCCCAGCCTAACCTGGAGGTGCGGGAGCGCCAGAGACTCAAATCTCGACAAAGCAGGGAAGTTTTGCCCAAAACCTGACACTTTTTTTTTTTTTTTTTTTTTTTTTTACTGTGTTGTTATGGTTGTTGTTGTTTTAAAAAAGAATGTTATTCCAAAACAGCTTCCTTTTCTTCCGGATCTGTTTGCTCCCACCGATTCCCTGCCACAACCAGGGTGCCTCCCCTTTCCCAATGCCCCACCTCTTGCCACATTTATAAAAAAAGAAAAAGAAAAAGAAAGAAAAGTGGCCTATCCCATCTCCCCTAGCTTTTCCTAGCAAGGCCTGGAAACTGGAGGAAATTCAAATCAAATTAGTTGCACATTAAAAATAAACAGACAAGCAATCAAGGGTGCCCACCCAACAAAAGCCCTCACCAGTTCCAAAATATGATTAAGCCTGGGAGGGAAGAGGGGGAGGGGGAACTTGCCGGGATGGAGATAAACGTGTGCATTTTTGGCCCCAGCGTCAGCCTCAGCGCGGCCAAATTCTACATTTTGTTTAAAGAAAACGCTGGGCCTGAGAGAAAAGAAAATAAAAAGTTGTAACTTTGAAGGAAGTCTGCAATCCGCACTGTCTGGATAAAAATGCCAGGGCTTCCTTCGTCTGGGATCGCCGGGCGTGAGCCGAGATTCGAAAAAATCTCCAAACCCAGCCGCTCGCTCTGGGAAGGCGCCCGGCCAGCGGCGCCGCCCGGCGGCCTAGCCAGGTCTCCCGGGACGCTCGCAGAGTCCCCCGGGCTCTCGCGGCCCGGCGCCGCGGATAGCAGGCGGGCACGGCCCGGGGCCCCGCTTTCCGTGAGGAGTGACAGGCCCTTCCCACGGCGGCTCGTTCCTGCCTGCCATCCGAACCAGACGGTCCCCGCGGCCCGCCCGGCCCGCCCGCCGCCTCGGGGCGCGGATTCCGCCCGCTCCGGTCTCCCAGCCGCCCCACCCCCGGCAGGGGCGCCCCTCGAGGCTGACCGACTGACCCGCGCTCCGCTGGCCCGCACGCACCGGGTCGTCCTCGGCTTCCCGCCGCGCCCCGCTCCCCCGCCCGAGCCTGCAAGCCGCCTGGCTCGCCGAGTCCAGCCGCGGCCGCCGGTTCCCGCCCCCAGCCCGGGGGGGGGGAGCCCAGGGGGCAGGACGGGGAGGGAGGACGTGGCGCGCAGAGGTGGCCAGCGGCGGGCGGGGAGTGTCCCCAAGAGGCCCTGGCGGGGGCGGGGGCGGCCGGGCGCCCAGGGACCCTCCCCGCGAGCATCCCGGGTCCCGGGTCGCAGCCCGGAGCCCCCGAGCGGGCAGCGGCGGCCGGGACTCCCAGCTCCGCGCGCACGCACGCCCTCCTCCCTCCACCATATGGAAATCTACAGCCTCCCAAAGTGACACGTCGAAGATTCCTCGGCCTGGCCGCGCGCCCTCCCCCTCCCGGGCAGCGGTCCTGCCGCGGGGATCTGGGCGGGGGAGCGGATTCCTCGGAGCCACGGGCCGGGGAGGAGGGGAGCCCCGAGCCCCGCATCCTCCGCTTTCTTCCCCGGCGAGCGGGGCAGGCGGGGCCGCCCCCCTACCCGCCCGGGAGCTTCGGGGAGCCGAGCGGTCTCGGGGCGACCGGGGACTCCGCAGCCAAGTTTTCCTCGGGCATCCCCGACCGCTCCGGGGCCGGGAGCGCGCTCGGGCACACTCGGGTGTCCGGCGCGGGCTCCAGAGCGCGGGGACCCGAGAGCGACCGCGGGTGGCAAGTCCCCCCGGCAGCCCGCGGCTCTCCGCACGCCTTACCTCCCCTCGGGCTGAAACGGGGCTCCGGGCGCCCGCGATCCGGGTCGCCCACGCCGTCCCAGCTAGCCGCCCGCGGGATCCCCGCCGCCCCCTGCGCTACTCCCGCCGCTCCCGCCGCTGCTCTCCCTGCCGCCTCCTCGGGCCGCCGCCGCTGCTCAAATAACTACCAGGAGGGTTTGATGGGGGATTCCGCCATGTCAATGATGTCCGGACCACATGGGGATTCGGGGCCCGCCCACTGCCGTAAGCCTCCCAGTACACGCGCAGCCACAAGTGCAAGCTCTCAGTACCTTGGCGAGGCCTCCCTTTCCCATAAGCTAAGCCTGGCTACTTAGGAACTCCGGTTCACTGAGACTTCTCTAGTCGGAACTGAGGGGAACTAGGAAACTCAGAAGGACATGCAGATAACGGAAACGTCACTATAAATACAGCATTTGCTCAGTAGTTATTAAAGCCGACTTGTTATTTTTCACTTATAACACATATTTCCTTTTCCAGTCATAATCCCCAGAGGCATCCTTCACTGATTTTGTCACTCCTTTAACTCCCACAGCATTTTCTTCGCTCGGCTAGTAAAGCATGAGCGAATTTTATGATGCCAAAACTTAAATGTGTGTTTTCCCTTTCAGTGCCGGCTAAACGCCTTCACTCCTAAAGAGTAGACTGGTTCCTTTTAGTTTTCATTAATATTAGTTTGTGCATACTTTATTTCTGTTGTATGTGTGAATGCGTGTGTAGCTTCAGGTACACACATGCCATGGCTTTTGTGTGGGTAAGAAACTTGAAAGTCCTGTATCCAACTCTGGTTCTCAGGCGTGGAGAGAATGTGTCTTTATACACTGAGCTGTCTTGCTTTCCCTAACGACTGTCTCTTGTCATTTATCTGGATTTTATGGGTCAGTTGTGTAGAAATTAAATACATAATGTATTTACGTATTGCACATGCTCTATGGAAGGGTAAAAGTCTGCGGTATCTCGCCCCACAAAGAGAAAAGGGTTTCTGGAAGCAGGGCCATTAGCTCAGATGTGCAAGTCTTCCGGATGACTTAGGTGTTCTGGATAACTCCACCTAGCACCTACAATTAATCTGTTCTACAATAACCAAAGAGGATGTATCGTTCTCACTGGCTATAAATAAATAAATAAATAAGGAAAAACTACTTTCATAAAACCCAAGGAAACGTATGAACCCTAAGGAATAGTTCTTTTCCTTGTGGGATTTGCAATTCTTTTTTATGTTTAAGATAGTGAGTGCAAACAAGCTGAACCTTCTCTCCTAAGTGATTCATTTCATGCCCATGTCCCCAAAGGACTCTGGAAGCCATCGTTCTAAAGTACTACTCTAACCTAGATCTTCACCCTATCTGGGAAGGAAACAGGCCTTAAAAGCAGTAGTTTCCTGTGTGCCCACAGAGCTCAGTTCCAGTGCTTCAGGCTCTGGCTATGCAGTCCGAGTTTGGGCCAATGTCTTCTACATTTTCCCCCAGCCATGCCTTTCAACCTAGTTTAACTTCCCGGGCTCCCGATGACATTTGTGACCCTGTACATGCATTCTTCCTTCTCTTTGTCCAAGGCCATCTTGCTCATCCCAGAGTCCCAACCAAAAGCACTTGCCCCATCCCAGCCTCCACTCTTTTCTCCATAACTATATTCAGTTCTCCTGCTGCTCAGAAGCTGTTCATTTCTACTTGGCTGAGTCATGTTCATTTCTTCTCTATATCAACCTAGAACTGCCCTTTGAAGATAGATCCCCCTTTTGCTTGTTGAATATATTGATTATAAAGTGTGTGGGAGAATTGAAGGACTGGATAAATGTGCAAACCTCAGAGGAAGAAAGGTTAAACCTGGATATTAAAGGACAAGTTTGGGAAAGAAGATCAGAGTAGACAAGAAAAATTAAGAGGACAGACTTACTTTTACCTATTTCTTGCCACAGACCTCCTGGATTTCTCTTTCTTACATAGACAGGTGTGGTGGCATCTTCCTAATTACTCAGCCCTCTGGAGGCTGAGGGAAGAGGGTCAGTCCAAGGCCAGCTGAAAGGGCTTGTCTCAAATCTCACCTCTCAAGCAGAGTCAATGCATACATGACGCATTAACTTAAAAATGCTTATCCGGATATAAATACTCTCAGTGATTCAGTCATCCTCTTAGCCCAACCTCAGAGACCTGTTCAGTACTAGAAAAGAAACATAGTAAATGCTTGCAAACCATAGGAAATACGGTGGCTAAGGAGAAGCAGAGGTTGTAACCACATACCAAAGTCCCCTAAGCCTGAATTTTCTTATAAAATTATGCTATTGTTTCCTGCTAAAATCACACTCGCAAGCACCTGATACTCAAGAAATAAGTATTAATTCATCCTTGAATGAGGGAATGAACCAATGAGTGACTAGGTGAATGAAGCTGTCGCTCCTAGAGGTATTAATGAGAGAGAAAATTAGAAGCTTCAAAGAAAAAGACAGACTTTTGATCAAGGCTCCTGGCTACTGAGGGACTTAGCTTTCATACAATGGAAAACATTGGGATTATTGAAGCATGAACTGATTGAAATGGGTTTCAAGGTTGATTGTTTTCACAGTGGGATATTGAACAAAGCTTGAGTCAGAGAGGCATATTCTGAACTTAGTTGGGAAATGAAGACTGGGCCCAGAGTCCTATTTCCGGAAATGGGAAGAAGGGCCTCAATCTAGACCGATGATATCCACTACCCAGTGTCAGTAATCTGGGCCACCAGCTGTCCTGTATCCCAAATTATGAAACCATGCTTGCAGTTAAGACCTCACTCCCAAAGAGTTTAGGTTTTAGTTAAATCCAAAATATGCTTCAAATTTAAGATGATAACTTAGTACAAAGACTCCAAAGACTGCGAAACATTCCTCCTGGAGAGTGTAGGTTACCTCACACAAAGCAAAAGGAAGCAAAGTTAGACTTTGTGATCTGGATTTACAAAGTAACAAAAGGAAGGCAACACTAACAAAAGGGCAGACACTGAAGCCTTGCAACACAGTAGTCTGCAGCGAGCGGACCTGGGAGCTTTCGAAGGTGGATGTGGCTAGCTTACTTAGCTTCTACAACAACCGCCTCTCGCAATGTTGCCCATCCTTAGCATCCTTCTTCCCACGATAGCTCAGGCTACCCCATAAACAGGCAGAGGCTTGCTCTCATTTTGAAACCTAATCTTAACTTTAGAGAGAAAACATCAGCTCTTCCCTCCTACAATTTATTCTCATGTCCGGAGCCAGATCTGGTGTCGTTTTGAAAGAATGCCGACAAGATGTCAATCCTTTTTGAAGAACATTCAGAATTTACTGGTATACTGAATAAAGGACTCGCAGGTGGGTTCACAGTTTAAGAAGAACATGGGAAATTCAGTGAAACGGATTCTTCCAGAACAATTTAGCCAGACAATGCTGTGATTATGCCTTCTTTACTGTTGCTCAAGGCAAAACATGGACAAATTTTGGACAAATGTGGGGAAAAAGAAAAAGAAAAAGAAACAAAACATCTCCAATGCCATCTGCCCTGCAGTTACCAGAGGATTAAGAAAGGAGCTAAGTGGTTGCCAGGGTTCCTGATTTTGAGCCCAGGGGTTAGCACACATGAAGGTTAGAGATAGCTCCTCAGGAGCTATCCATCTTGTTTTAAGACTGGTCACCTCATTGGCTTAGAACTTTACAACTAGACCACCTGGTGGGCCACTGAGTCCCAGACATCCTCCTGTCTTCATTCCCTGAACTAGGATCACAAGTATATGTCACCAAACACAGCTTTCCGTGCTAGGGATCTATGCTAGGACCTGGGGACAAAACCCAGGCTTTCACAATACTCTGCAAGCACATTACCAAATGAGTTCTCTCCCCAGCCCTCAGGTCTTCCGCTCTGGCCCAAAGTGGCTTCTTTTCATCCACATCCTAAGACCTGAGATGCCAACCTTCAACCAATGACCACCAAAGAAAAGGAAGTGTTTCTTGAGAAGGCAACTTTCATCAACTCCAGCTCCAAAGGAAGGCTTCTAGAACTGCCTGTCTGCAGTGTTTCCCCTGTCTTTACCCCCCACACACACACACAAACTGACAATACTCGCCTTTCACACACATGCCATTATTCCCTGAAGACTCTATTCTCCTGAAAACACGTCTGTGACACACAGAAGTTGTCAAGGTCCACCTCTGGGGCCCCACCTGTTCATCTTTGAAAGCTTGGTATCCAGTCTTTGTTCTTGGTATTTCAGACATGATCAGAATACAGCCACAAAGAGTAGTTACTAGTCTGGTCCCAGTTTGGATGAAATTCCCTTTAGTCAAATATGATGTTAATTTTGTTAATAAATTTCTCATCCTATTAACTCATGCTTTTGTGCCACAAAACATGTCAAGATGTATACTGTATATTCAACTGATATAATCTTAATGTTAACTCACTAATTGATGGAATACTTAATTTTATTAAACTTCATTTATGTTGCATCCTCCCATTTCAACTAATTAAGACTTTTGGAGTCTAGCCACATAATGGCTAGTGCCATCTGTCAACTTGACGGAATGTGGAATCACTTGAGAGATGGGGCTCTTGAGCACTTCAGTATGTGATCATCCTGATTATATTAATTGATATGGGAAGACCCACCTTGACTGTGGGTGAAACCGTTTCCTGGGCAGGGTATCCTGACTGCTAACTAGCGTTCATTCTTCCGTGGTTCCTAACTGTGAAGCAATGAGACCAGCTGCTGAAGCTCCTGCTGCCTTCACTTTCCTGCCGCAATGGACTGACTCTACCCTTGAACTGTGAGCCAAAACAAGTTGCATTTGTCAGGGCATTTTATCACAGCAACAGAAAAAGAACCGAGGACAACCAATAAACATTCTTTCTTAGTGTTTTGACATTGATCAACATGACAGGAATGTTTTCCATGTGGCTATCCAAGTCACTAATAAAAATCCCAAGGCCCGGGTCACACCAGGACATGTTCTCATGAGACATCGACACTGACGTGCTCTGAACGGTGTCACCTCAGAAGAGCAGCTTCAATCGCATCCCCGTGGTGGCTGCCATCTTGCCTGCCCGCTCTTCCATCTGATTTGCTACTGTGGTCATTTTCTCATCCTAC